ACCTTTGACATCATCACACTGCCAACATCCAGTATACGCCAATAAAATGGGATAAATAGGGCTGTACTGAAGAGTTCAAAGCTTCATTTATACTGTTGACATTGAAATTATAAATTAACATTCAAATGCTATGCAGCTTTTAGTGAGTCCATTCATTCACCTGGCCATCATGTGTGACGACTCTGAAACTAAGAGCTCACATGTGATCTCAACGACCCTGTAAAGGTTCACACCCACCCAGAGTTTAAAGCCTGCGAGTCCTTGAGAACTGAAGAAGCCTCTTGGATGAGAGGTGAAACTGAAAAAATAAATCAAAATAAATACTTAAACAACGTGCCTTGCCTTCTCCTCCAGGCTTTAGCAACAAAATTGGCAAACTTAAACACATCAGAAAAACCATTTTAGCTTTTGGTCATCTGAGCACCAGAAAATATCAGAGTTTAGATGGGCCATGTCACAGAGCTTTAACTCTCTTAAGTCATCATAGTTTGTACAATATAAAAGAAAACGGGACTTTCCACTTTGCCCAAATCACACAACTCACATAATCTGTTTACTTCCTGAATATTGTTGAATCGCCTGATCTCAATGGCCAGAGGACGAATACCAGCTCTTAGCTGTGCATCTAAAGATCTTTGGCTTCTAGATAAACAGGATGTTACATAAGGTTCAGGGCCAAACCTCTGTTTTATATGCAGGTATGTCCTTCATTTAAGCATTGAAGGAGTGCTTTCCAACCACAACTCTTCAGATTTCTTTCTCGTTATAGAGTTACTTCACACTGTGTCTGACTGGTGTCATCCAATTATTTCCAATAACTCCAGAGTGTTGTAGAGTCCGAAAGTCAAAATTAATTTAAAGAAAAAAAGATTCAGTCCATTTTGTTGGTGTTTATCCTTTAAAAACATTTTTCACTGATTCAAAAAACTGCTGTCCTGCTTGCTGCACACAAAGGGAGGCGCACACCTGTAATAACAGGGCGGTCTAGCAGCACCATATATTACATGTATACATTAAACAAAGTTGATTTAAAGGTCTAGTGTGTCAGATGTAGTGGCATCTAGTGGTGAGGTTGCAGATTGTTACATAAATAAGAGAAAACTATTACACGTTATTATGCGTCAGCTAGTTGCCAGTTTTGGTGCACAACAGACTATCGTATTTGAGTCTGGGTCTGACTGAGGCTCAGACATGTGTGGCCGGATCTCTCATATGTTTCCTCCAACTTTAACCTGGCTGTCATGATGTGCATGAGAAAGAAGAAAGTGAAATCTACCTCAAGCTGTGGTGGCGGGGCGGAGGCCAGATCCAGACTTCGTCAGTGATGGAGAAATAGTCGATCTGCTTCAGGTCTCTTTTCAGAGTCAACAATTATGTGGGGAAAACCATGTTAAACTAAATATTAGTATAATTAAAATGTGTCTGGAGGGGGACTTTAAAATGAGCAGAAGCGTTTAACAAGGCAGAGTGTTTGCGACTGAATTTTTCTCTTTTCTTCTTTTTTTTTATATAGCAATACCTGCGGCCAGTAGAGGATGTGGCCTCGGCCCAAGAGGACTGCTACAAGTTTGCCGTGTCCCAATCTAGCACTGGTACAGTGATGGGGGCTGTCATCATGGAAGGCTTCTACGTGGTGTTCGACCGAGAAAAGAAACGCATCGGCTTTGCTGTCAGCACCTGCCACGGTGAGGAGGAGAGGGTGGAGGGATGAGGAGGGGAAGAGAGGGGAGGAGAATCAGTAAGGTTTGTAGTGTGTGGTGGAAAAGGAAAAAAAATATGGATGCTCATAGAAAGAAGTGCTACCTAAAAGGAAGAAAATATATGCAGGATATTTCACTTAAAACTAATTCACTTTAAAGTTTTTTAAAACTGTGTGTCTCTCAAACACCGACAATCTTACTCTCTCATTTGTAGTGCATGATGAGTTCCGCACAGCCTCCGTGGAGGGCCCATTCCATGGCGTCGACCTGGAGGACTGCGGCTACAACATCCCCCAGACCGATGAGTCCACCCTTATGACCATCGCTTACATCATGGCAGGAATCTGCGCTCTCTTCATGCTGCCGCTGTGTCTCATGGTGTGCCAGTGGCGTTTCGCTCGCTGTCTCCACCCACACGGGGACTTCGCTGACGACATATCGCTCCTTAAGTGAAGGGAGAGTCGAAGGGGACTAAAGGAGTCGTGGAGACCTACGCTTGAAACACAGGACAGGGGATGGAGAATGTGGTAAAAGGGATTGTTGCAAAAATGTTGGTGCTGTTGAGAGAGAGGTTTTTCAGGATATGTAAAGTATAGAAAATGCTGACACACACGGCACGGAGCATTTGAGGATAACTAGAGCCATTACTAACCCTGAAGGACAAACAAGAGAAAGTTGGTGTCATCAGCGTCAACTATGCCTGTTTAAGCTACCTATGCAGATCAGCATGGAGGAGGGACAGATGTGGGGAACATGCAAAATTAAAAAAACAGCTCTTTGTTATAAATAGTGTATAAATAGACCACAGAGGTGGATCAGATTTGGAATTTTGTCTCTTAACGTTGCAGAGCTCCACACAGAGTGGTTTGAGGGGAAAATAAAATAATGAATAAACTCACAACCTGGATGTGAACACAAGATGTGAATCTATCATGCAGTCAGACGTGGTTTTGTCGGAGTGTGTTTCTAGATCTACTGTTTGTGGCTTCTGAGTGAATGAAACAAGGTTGATATGTGTGAGCATGCCTGTATGTGTGCATAGCTGTACTGTACGTGGAGAGTATACAGAGCGATTTAAAGAAGATGAAGAGCATACTTACAAAAATGACACTACTGAGTAAGAATAGCATCTATGAAATTACAATATTTTGCAAATGCCAGCAAAGAATTCTGCAACGCAAATTAAGTAAGCATAAAGAGGTTCATTTGATGAAATATCAGATCGTAACAGCATTTATTGCATAAAATCAGTTCTGCTTGGCGTGAGACTGAGACTACTGAACACAGTCGATATCAGATGTCACTTTTTCTTCCTATATTGATAGCTTATATGTATCTATTGTAAATAAAATTTGTGCATTCCAGATCTTCTATTTGCGCAGTCACACACAGAATACACATTGCTTATCTACTGCTGCACCATCTGATGATTTGCACATGTTAAAAAAAAACACATTACATATCACCAAACCAAGACTTAACAGGGCTTCTCTCACAGACACACAAACAGCCTAACTCACCACATCTTTCAATGGGGACCATACAGTATATGCTCAGACAAGGAAACCAGCCCAACGTATGTTATACACTAAAGAACACTATGTATATGTCTACAAGGGACAGTTTGTGTTGTCTCTCAGCAAGCTGTATATAGATAAACTCAGAACTGTATATTTATCTGTCAGGCGCTGGCAGCACTGTGGAATCAATAAAGTACTTATGGTAACTGGAACGTGCAGTGATTTCTATTTCTACTCACAAGACATTAACCATGAAATATAATGTTTAGATTTACATCCAGTGTAGTTGAATTTTATATTTAAGTGTTGAAAGGTAATGAAAAACTTTGGATATGATAGGATTTAAGTGTCTTTCAGGGTCTTTCCCCATACATGTAATGTTGGGAGATAATTTAATAAATTCAAATACATAGTCTGAATAGCAAAGGCAGAAAACTCCACAACAAAAGACCTTCACTTTAACTTTTGGTGATATTTGAGTTATGGCCTGTTACACACATTGCCTTCTTTCAAGATACACTTCTGCTTTCACAGGAACTGTAATGTTCCATAAATCTAAAATAGTTGTTGAAATTACACTGAGTCAGTGCCATTTGCTATATATGCCCTTGAAAATGGCAAAGCCATTTCCGTCATGTTTAGTTTTTCTTGTTTTTTTTTTTTTAAATCAATAGCATTTATACCAAAAAAGAAATATGTATATTCTATAACTTTAAATAAACTTTTCTATATATCAAATATAACTATAAATCAGTTATTCTATAACTTTAAATAAACTATTAGAATGTTGAATTGAATGAATATTTTCTTAATTTCTTTTTTTATTTGGTATTTTTTGGTTATATACAGATATGTAATGATGATTGCTGGGTGATATATCTTAGCTTAGCTTAGCTTAGCTTAGTTTATCATCTTTCTTATCCTATATTATATCTCTGTTTTGTCTTATATCTTTTCCTGTAAAACAGTTAATATAATCTATCACAAAATTACATGCTTATTCTATAACTATAAATCAACTATTCTAAAAATCAAATAATATATAACTATTGGTCAACTTTTCTATTTATCAGATATTGTGTAACTATAAATCAAATATTCTATAACTTAAATTCAACTATTAAAAATGTTAAATTGAATTAATGTTTTCATTTCTTATTTTCTTTGGTGTTTTTTGTTATATACACAAATGTAATGATGATTGCTGGGTGATATTATATTATCTTGTCTTATCTTATATCTCTATCTTGTCCTATATTTTTTGTTTAAAATAGTCAATAGCATCTATAACAAAAATGATATGCTTATTCTATAACCATAAATCAAATATTCTGCAACTTTAAATCAGCTATTCCATATATCAACTGTTCTATAACTAGAAATTAACTATTAAAAGGTTGAATTAAAATAATATTTTCTTATTTTCTCCAGTATTTTTGTTATATACAGATATGTAATGATGGATGCTGGGTGATATGTGTGTTGATGTTGTCCAATGTCAAGCCCATTGTAACCACCTTAGGCCACTGTTTACAACTACTTTATATATTTTAATGATAAAACACACACAGGCAAAGTAGTGTCAATGATAGCAGCAGCAGCTGTGGTAGTATTATTGCAGTTTAAAACAATTAGTAGAAAAGTAATTAGCACTTTACCACTGATGTGACATGTTTCCATGTTTACATGCTTGGGTGTAGCACCTGAATCTCCACTGCGGCTCTGGACCAATCAGGTGGCACGCACGACGTTTACGCAACGACTGTATGACGTATTACATTCGGGCTGTGCGTGCGTTGTGTATTGCGGAAATGAGATGACAAGCTTAATGTTAAACATAAATTTCTGAACAAACAGACGACAAACGACTCAAGTGGGAAGGTAGGATACAACTTGTTGTGTTATCGCGATAAACCGACATGTCTGCTGGTTCGTACTGGCGTATTTCACCAAAGAACAGCGATATAAATAAATAGTTAGCGTTAATTAGCGAGCCTCGGATAAAACTGGCGTCCCTATCCACGTTGTTTTGACTTTACTGTGTGTATTTTTTTGTCTGTTTCTTATACTGGTTTACTGAATTCATCAAAGCTGTGGCGGTAGAGTGACACAGTCGCTTTCTTTTAAGTGACTAACCTCAGCTAGCTGCCCAACTAGCTAGCTGACCTGCTGGCTAAAACTAAACAATCAGCAAAATTGAGAGCTAGCTTAGCCAGGGAGCTAACAGGTTTATAATCGATCACATATCAGCTGTTTTCACCATCTGTCACCCAAAAGGAACACTGAATGTCAGTAGCTGGATGTCTTTAAAATCTGAGCTACTGTTAACGTCAGTCAAGTGTTTGAAGAGGGATCTGCTGATAACACATGTGACGTTATCTGTTTGTGTAATGGGTGTATATTGTTTTAAAAAATGTGAGACAGGTATTAAGCCAAGCAGCTGGCAGGGGTCCAGTCGGTGTGTTGCTCGAGGACAGTTGGGCGTTGGATGTGCTGGGTCGTTTTTATAGTGCAGTAAACAAGGGTTGGAAATTAACTAAATAAGCAGAAGCCACATTATAGATTACCATTGTTTTTTGGCTGGTGAACAAAGCCACTTGCATATGTTATCAGCATTTGGCTGGTGTCTGGTGCGAATTTCCAACTCTGATAATGTAACTGAGGAAAACTTGTAGGCTGTGGTTTAAGTCCAGCCAACTGTGGGCTTGACAGCGGTGACATCTAGGTCGATGATTTCATTGTAATCTTATTTATTTTCCATTTAGTGTCCATGATCAGAGTGTCAGAGTCTGGCTCATGTTATTATATGCAGTGCATTTGAATTTAAGGTAAAATAGCTAACTAAAAAAGTATTTAACACTACCCTATAGTCAAGCCCAAGGGGCCAAAGCAGGTAAATGCCTGGGGGCCTCACATGGTGCATATCCTAAATTGAAGCTTTGTTTAAATTCATCGCCAGGCGAATAGCTTCCACAAGAGGTGTACTGGTTGTGTTTGCACAAATAATTTAGTTGCCACGTTTAATTTGCCATGTGTTTTGTGCCTGGGAGTGGCAGATTACGTAAAGCCACCTAACAGGTTAATCCAGCCTCACTTTAAATTCCAGCCACACTTTTAATAGGGCACTCTATTAATATCATAGCTGAAGTGTGCTTCATGCATTCTCCACCTTGTTGTGACAAAATAAGGCAATAGTAGGTAGCGAATAAAGAGACGTGTTCACGTTTCACTTGAACTCAGAGGTATTTGCTTGTGTTCTGTTATTTGATTTTATAACCGAACAGTGCTAATAGAATAGCATTCATCTGTTAAAGCCTCTTCACAGCCACACATGCAGGAACAATGAATTAACCACAGAGTGTTAATCAAATGTGCTGCAGTCACAGCTCTCTGAAGTGGCATCCAGTTAGTGCGATGCTGTGAATTCAATAAGTGGCCTCTGAATGCAGCACACAGATGACGAGCAACCGCTGTCATTGTCCTCACAACTAACAAGATCTTCTTTTCTCCCCCGTCTGTCTTTGTCTCATATATCCAGGTTGCTGTTCAGATGAGGAGGGTTTGCCCGGTTGACCCTGTGTGTCACCCTCCGTTGCCATGGCAACGTCCTATTTTCCTACATTCCTGCTTCTTCTTTTTCTGACCTCCTTCACTCTCTTGCTCCTGACCCTCTTGCCTGCTGTTACCCCATCGATCCCCTTTTCTTCCTCCTCTCCTCCATCACCCTGGCCGTCACTCTCCTGCGGCCTGGGTCAGTCCTGGGCTGTCCGGCTGCGCTCTGGCCCACATTATGAGGAAGAACCTGGTGAACAGAGTGTGCACCTGGATATGATAGCCAACAGGGTACGGTACTTCATGAACACTTTCAGCATGTACATTTTAATCTATTTATAGGGTGTCACTGAATTTTCCTACAGCACAGGAACATATTTCTGTGTTCTGACATTTTCCAAATAAAACAGAAGGTAATAGGGCTACAATACTTGTTTACTTGGTACTGATTGTGAGACTACGACTTGTGGGAACGCTGCATTTGGTTTTCCTATATAATTTTAATTTTCCATATATTTTCATACACATCCTTCTCCTGCTTCATGCTTTATGCTCCCAATTTGTATGCTATTTTCTGCAACAACCTCCTTCCTCTGCAGGAAATATTAGCATTTCATCTAATCTGTTTTAAAGTTGCCGAGGTCAGGGGGAAAAAACACAAGTTGCCTGCTTTTAGAAGTATTGTCCCAGTTTAATTTGTACTTAATCATCAGTATTCTCCCCATCCTAGGTAGCAGAGCAGGCTGGGCTGAGGAACCAGGGCCAGATTGGACAGCTTGAAGGCCACTACTTGCTGTGTTCTGACAAGCCTGGGTCTGTGGCTGGTGTTTGGAGCAAGCGTGTCCAGCCTGGGGACGTCCTGGCCGCCCACCCTCATGTATTGTGGTACTCTCAGGACAGAGTGCTGAGCCGTTCAAAGAGGTCAATGGCCTTCAATGATCCCAACTACCCTGAACAGTGGCACCTGGTGAGATTCTAGACTGTTGTGTATCTTTGCTACCATCTTGCTAACTCACTAATTATGTAATAGTCAGACTTGCCTTAGACTAGAGCCTAAAATTAACTTAATGGTGTCAAAGATGAGAACATGATTTTTCCTTTCACATTGTCAATGACAGTGCATCGTGGCTGCCAGGGAGAGCATTTAAGAGCAGGCACAGGCCAAGACTTAAGCTGTGTTTGGACAGAATTTATAACTTAAGAAATGGTGGGACGGTTTTACCAAATACCTGTGTTGGTCAGTGATTGTAATCCCTTCCAGAGCGGGGTAGTCATGCAGTGTCTTTGCCTCACGTCTCTCCCCCACTCTCCCACGTCTTCATTGCAGATGAAGACTCTGTTGTAGCACCTCACTTAGACTGCAGAGCAATAGGTCATGTGAACAAGGGCATTAGAATAAGTCCAGTCACACCTGCTTTTTTCATTCCTTTACACACAGCATCCTGTATGCATAAAGGGTTGGGTGGTGATGGACTAAGAGTCTCATCCTACTCTCTAATGTGCTATGTGTGAGCTCAGTCCTGCGTGTTCTTTAATGAAGCAATAGGAGAAGATATTCGGTCTCAGTTAATGTAGTTTATTAAGCAGTAAAGGAATAAAATTACAGAGCTCTGGGTCTCAACTTCACGTCCCTGACGAACAACAAAGGTGTGTCAGTTAACGAAGTCTGACCTCCTGTCCTTTCCCTGACCCAGTATATTTGAGCGTAACAGAGTGTCATTGTGCACGCAAGGCGTTGTCCTCTTCTCATTGGCAGTTCCACTTCCTCCTTCACCACACCACGCCCCTGCCTCGTGTTAATCTGACTCCTTCCCGCTGGCGGTGGGGGCGTGGTTCCTGTTTTGAAAGACAAGAGAACAACACAACTCCCTACACGTGCTGTACCTTACTATCTGTATATCACTTTCTATTCTTTTTACCATATATGAAACTAATTATCTAAGCATTGCGGTATGTGCTCCTCAGACTTCATGTCTCTTCCTCTCCTGTACTTCTCCACTTCTGCAAAGCAAACACATTCAGATCAGCTGAAATCATCTCAGTATTCTCATTGTTCACACATCTAAAACTTATATAGTGAAACACAACTTATAGTAAAACACATAACATCATTCTGTTCCCAACAGTGGAGTGTGGAAATCAATCACTTATCTTTCCAGCTAGTCATTAATCCTCATGTACCTTTTAAACAGCTGTGTTATATACACAGATAACCCATGTTTTTGTGGCATATGGTTACACAGTTTACTCAAGTAATTAACAAGGCAGCATTCAATTAGATTTGATTACATTTACATGTTACAACAATGCTGCTGCTGCCAAAGTGGTGCTTGTATAACTGCAGGAAATTATTCAATTCCCCTTAAAAAATCATGTTAAATGTTCTTGTTTAAATTACTTGATCAGAATGGGTTGTCACATTTTCTTCATGCAGTGGTTCACAACATGCAAAGTGAGAGATTAACATTGGTTAGTGGTGTATAGTTTTGCAGAAGCAAAAATGCGAGTGTGGTCATTTTGCAGAAGCCTGGATCTTGTTGTGCATGATGGTAAGGGTTAGTGTCAGGTAAAAGAGAGGTGGCCTACATACTGAGGTTGCAGCTTGTTGTGCATCAGTGCTGGGAAAATAATATTAACTCCTGCAAATAGAAAACAACTGTATAAAAATCTTAAAACAAACTATTGAAAGGATGCCAGTTAGGTGTAAGGGGTGCGTGAGTAAAAGAATGTACATCAGGTAACCAAAGTGCATTTCAAGTTAATGAAAACACTCCATAGGAATGTTTGGCCAGTCTTTGTGCCACTGCAGGAGAACCCTGCACTTTTGGACACCCTCACTTCAAATTTCCTTCACAGTATGATCTCATCTTACACCCATGACTTGCATTTTAAATCCTGTACTGTTTCTCATTTTCCACTTTCCCTCATCTGTTCCTTACTCTCCTTGTTCTTGCAGCACAATTACCTCAGAAAGGGTATGGACATCAACGTTACAGGGGTGTGGGAGCGGAACATCACAGGCCGAGGGGTCACAGTGGTGGTGGTAGATGACGGGGTGGAGCACACCCACCAGGACATCCAGCCCAACTATGTAAGTCAGAACTTAGTTATTTTATTCTTTGATCAATGGATAGTAAATATTTCCTCATAAGTAAAGGAATACATCAAATTCCAAATGATTATTTAATCAAATCAATTACTCACCCTGTGTTACGTTAAATTTGTGAAGAAAACTTGTTTATCCTGCATGCCTCTGGAGAAAGAAGAATCCACAAACCTGGGATGTTCTTTATCATTTAGCAAGAAAGCAAAATTATATCAAAACTCTATATACTCCAAGTTCAAGTATCTTGGGGTCTTGTTCAGGAGTGAGGGTAGAATGGAGTATGAGATGGATCGGCAGCTTGGTGTGGCGAAGCTTTGGATTTACTGGTCCATTTACATCCCAACCCTCACCTATGGTCATGAGCTCAGGGTAGTGACCGAAAGGATGAGATCGCGGATACAAGCCGCCGAAATTAGTTTCCTCTGAGGGGTGGCTAGGCTCAGCCTTAGAGATAGGGTAAGGAGCTCAGACATCCGTAGGGAGCTCAGAGTAGATCCACTGCACCTCCTGTTAGAGGTGTTTCAGGCATGTGTCACTGGTAGGAGGCCCTGGGGCAGACCCAGAACACGCTGGAGGGATTACGTATCTCATTTGGCCTTGGAACGCCTTGGGGTCCCCCAGGCAGAGCTGGAAAGCGTTGCTGGGGAGAGAGATATTTGGGATGGATGGAACTATATACTAGCTTTCACATAATCCAAGTCTCATTTATTACACTCAGTACTTCCCAAAAAGACCACCTTTTCCAACAAGGAACTAAACGCAAAGTGAAACTTAATCTATGCTCCCTTCAAAGCCAGACTCCATCGACAAAAACAGTAATTTTACCTCGCTGAACACAAGAGCTGCTGGTCTGCCACTGCCTTAATCATCAGTTTGTTTGCTGTTCTGTGTGACATTGGGGGGTCCGAACGAATCCTTTTAAAACGTAAAAGTCAAACAATAACACAAACAAACTAACTGATTGAGGCAGCCGTAGACCAGCTGCTCCTGTGTTCAGTGAGGTAAAATTACTGTATTTGCCAATGAAGTCTGGTTGTGAAGAGAGCATAGATTAAGTTTCACTTTACGTTTAGTTCCTTATTGGAAATTGCTGTCTGTTTGGGAGGTGCTGAGTATATGACTCAGCACCATATGCTGATTATACTAAAGGAGTTGCGTGGGAGTCTGTTACCAGATGTTTTGCAGTTGTGAACGCAGTCACCCATGACTTCACTTCATCAAGAATTTTCTCGCTTTTTGGATTCTTTGTTCACCATGGAGGCATGTGAGGAAAATAAACCTTCCTTTATCAGTTCAGCATAACACGTGATGAGCAATTGATACACAAATGGTCATTTTGGGGGGGGTGAAGTATTCCTTTACTTTAGAATGGTGTGTCCTGCTGTTATCACTGAACTTTGTGAGAACAATAAGCAAAGAAGCCATTTAGATGTTTTCCAGCAAGACTGTACTCACCACTATTCCCAATCTGCAAGTGCCTTTTTACCTGATAGTCAAGATGAAGCACCTGCAAGACCTGCCTTTACTTTAAGAGCACATCTGTGCACTAACTAGAGTAGAGGAGACTTCTAAACTAAAGACATGTCACTCACAGCAAAGAGGAGGCAGAGTTTGACACTGTAAAAACAGTCTACAGTTTATGGCAGGAACAACCAGGAAAAAAGAAGAGAGCCATAAAGTTAACGGCACATAAACTAATTCAGTGCGACTTATGAGCTCAGTGAATGTGTTAGTTTTTTATAGTAGTAGCAGAGTGTAAACCAGACACTCATTTTCCATTAATAATTTTTCAACCCTCTCAGAGTCCAGAGGGCAGTTACGACCTGAACTCCAACGACCCCGACCCCATGCCTCACCCAGACGTCCACAGCGACAACCACCACGGGACGCGATGTGCCGGAGAGATCGCGGCCGTTCCCAACAACAGCTTCTGTGCCGTGGGGGTGGCCTACGGCAGCAAGGTCGCAGGTACGGACAATTTAGAATTTCAAACTAGGATGTCTCAGTGTTAAGAGCCGTTGAGAGGGGTGAATGCATGTAGTGTAATAGCTCTCTTCCTGGTTGTTGTTACTGCTCAGGTATTAGAGTCCTGGACGGTCCGCTGACAGACAGCCTGGAGGCCATAGCCTTCAACAAGCACTACCAGGTCAATGACATCTACAGCTGCAGGTAACAAACACGTCTCTCTGGTGGCTTTTATTATTTGATTTTTTTATTTATCATTCACAGTTGGTTATCACAGATGTGTATGTGTGCATGTGTCATTTCACAAACGTTTTGCAGTTTAATGTTGGTGTTTTCTGTGTAATTTAGTGTCATGTTTCACTATGCCAAAATGCCATGTTGTGAAAGTTTTGCTTGGATTCTGATTTAGACTCTTGTCTCCTCTAGTTGGGGTCCAGATGATGATGGACACACTGTGGATGGACCCCATCCCCTGGGCAAGGTAAGAGAAAGACAGTTGGATTTGTGACTTTGTCCTGCAGGGGGCAGTACACTGCAACAGATACATTACAGAGGACTAGGCATGGAGGAAAACAAGAAATACACAAAGTGGAGTCTTATCTTCTTATTACAGCATGAATTTGTTTTCACCCACAGGCGGCTCTGCAGCACGGGGTGATTGCAGGCAGACATGGCTTTGGCAGCATCTTTGTGGTTGCCAGTGGCAACGGAGGTCAATACGATGACAACTGCAACTATGACGGCTACGCCAACTCCATCTACACCATCACAATCGGTAAGACACAGAGGCTCTCAGGTCAGTGAGTGTACACACGTGTTCGGGGTGTGGACACGTGTGTGTGTGTGTGTCGGGCCATAAATAATCATTATACGTGTCTTTTGCAGGAGCGGTCGATGAGAAAGGTAGGATGCCCTTCTACGCTGAAGAGTGTGCGTCCATGCTGGCTGTCACTTTCAGCAGCGGGGGCGGCAAGATGAGGAACATTGTAAGTCTTATCTGAACACACAAAAACCGATACACAAAAAAGATGACTAGGCCACAGAGTGGATGAGTAGTGGCACGAGGAACAACAGGAAAGCAGGAAGTCAATGAGGAGCTAGTCTAAAGTAAAAAAAAAAGACAATAGATGATGTCATTAGTGATTCACTTTACTAGTGCTGTTACACCTAGCCTGTTTGGTTTGGTTATTTTAGGCTGGTTTAAACGCTGTAAATATATTTGAGTAGAGACTACACTACTGGACCGAGACCGCCTGAAAAGAAGGGTCTTAGTTTGGTTCCAGTTTGTCTAAAACCACACACGGTTGACCCGGACCCAATTTGACTGCCTGTCTAACAGTGTAATCGTCACAATGGCGGGAAACTGTTTATCAAACCAGAGATCGTTTAATTTGGGCTGCTGATTTTTCTTAGAATATGGACCCCAGTTATATGCTTCACTTTTTTCAGAAAAACAGATGAAAGATATGCTGAATGAGAGTTTGCACTGCAAGGGACATTGGCTAGTGGAACAGAAGCTAGCCAGGATGTGATGTCATGACTTCTGATCTCTGTAGCGCTGACGATGCAAACTGTCCAAACATGTTTCATCTGAACATGGGGCTAGTGGTGGTTTTGCGAATGTTCCAGTAACGTCAACATCATATATTATATACTGTAGTTGTTCCAAGTTTCACAATGGAGCAGTTGCAGATACCATATTCCACACCATGACATGTAAAATGAAATATACATATATATATATATATATATATATATGTATATATATATATTTATATATAAATTTCAATGTGGTCTAAAACTTATGAATTAAGTGATTGTAAGAAATGTTTGAAAGCTTGTGAAACAGCAGCTCCACATGAGGAGAAGCAGAGACTATTTTCATCTGAAACAACGACGGACGATGACAGGAGTAAGAGCCCTTCGAAGCCACTGAACTCTATTTGCCACTGTTTGTGGGCGTCTCCATGACAACACAGTTTGGCCCCTGGATGTCATCGCCTGGGGGAGAACAGCTTAGCAGGGCTTGGCTCTCTCTGGAGATGGCTCATCCACCACTGACCACAGTGTACTCACAGGCCAAAAAAAACACGTTTAGAGTCTCCCAAGAACAGCTGCCCTCACAAATCCGTTTTATCACAGTGTTCTGTAAAGCCTGGAAAAGTCACAGAATTTGAAGTTCCCTGATCAGCTTTTGAAAAATCAGCTGATGGCAGTTTCATTCAGATTCTCCCGTCAAACTTGGTGTTATTCTCGAGACTGATTTGTCAGTGATACTTGATTATGTAAGCCCTAATTAATAGCTTTGGGAATTTGGGATTCAGTGTCTCTAATTAATTACAAGGCAACATATGGAAATTATAAACACAAACATGTAGCTTGTTAAGATGCAGAACTTGCCTGCTAATGATGCTTGTATACTCACCACACAGACAGCTGCTCTGGATGAACATGCACAACTCTGCGTAGTAGCTCAAAGCCTTCTACATGACCTGAACAGCTGTTGGAAAAGGCCCACGTGTTTGCATGTGGGCTGGGAATTCCTCAGCCCACATCTCTGTGGTCCTTCTGTCAGACAGGCTGTCACTAATGTGTGTATCAGCGGGTGGTTTACAACGGAAGACGTATGAGACATGTTTGAACTTGTGTGCCGTGCATATAAGCAGATTTTACTGTCCATACCTGTAGTGATGAGAGACAAACCTGTAAAACAATATTATAGCCGTCCTTTTTTGCTCATAAAGTTAATCTCCTCCATAAATCCGTCCACCCCTCTCTCCATTTCGGTCAACCACTATCTGTTAGGATTTCAAACTCCTCTACATTTCCATCCTCTGTGTATATACGTTTTTACTTTACTACTCTTCATTTTAGTTTGTACAATGTGGTTTTTTTTTCTTTCATCCTTTCATCTCTTAAAAAGCTGGACCTCCCCAGGGCTTTAAACCCCTGTCATACAGTCCTCATGTACTCCATTAAGTGTACACAAACAGAGCTGAACTCTTGTCCACCTGCAGTAAATATGTCGGTTGGCGAGGATGCCTCTGGCGCCCGATGAAGTGCTGTCTGCTAGTTGTTAGTTCAGGTTGAGAACCCTCATGTTCAAGGGCAGTTTGTGTTCACTCTGACTGTATTCACTCATCTGTTAAAGTATATTTGCATATGTGAGTGCCACTTGGTCTCCTGCCAGAGCTGTTACCACCCTTGCTGTGTTTGTACTGTGCGTGAATCTCCACTGCTGTATCTCCAATCAGCCCATCCATCTGTTTCTGCAGGTGACGTCAGACTGGTTCATGCAGAAGGGCACCGGCTGTACGGATGGCCACACCGGTACCTCTGCTGCTGCCCCGCTGGCGGCAGGAATGGTGGCCCTCATGCTGCAGGTCCGCCCCTGTCTCAGCTGGAGGGACGTTCAGCACATCATCACCTATACGGCCACCAAGGTAGGCCTGATGAAATATCTTGTGGCGTCCATTAGTATACAGGCCTTTGTAGATACTTGAGTCACCTGGATACTTGTGTCACAACTGTGCGGGAAAACAGTTGGTATGCCCATATGCACACTAATATTCTACTGCCATTCCACATATGACAATATTCTACATTCGATAAGGGTCATGCAAACAGCATATTCCATTTGGATATTCCGAAAAAGGCCTTTTTTTACGGAATTTAGCGTTTTCCGATTAAGACTAGGGCTGCAACGATTAGTCGACTAATCGATGACTAATCGACTATTAAAATAATCTGTGACTATTTTAGTAGTCGACTAATCGGTTTTAGTCATTTTTAATAGAAAAGTACTATAAAAGTACCTCAAAATACTCTTACTGCAGCTTCTTACGTTCACATATTGGCAGCTTTTCACACTCTCCGATGGCGGTGAACTAAAACCCTTTGGCGTGAGTACGAAACAAGACATTAGATGACATAATTTTGGGGTTTGGGAGAGACAGACCGACATTTTTCAGCATTTAAACACATTTTTCGATAAAATAATTAGTCGACTAATCGAAGAAATAATTGACAGATTAGTCGACAATGAAAATAATCGTTAGTTGCAGGTAGGTTGTAGGTCCCTAATTAAGACACGGTATTGTTTGAGTTTTAATAGCATTATCTGGCAGCCCACACAGAATATGCGTCTCAACTGGGGGTTTTATTACAGTTTGCGACAAAGTCTCTTGCCTGGTTTCAGCAGGTCCCCAGGAAAACCACTTGCCCTTGGAGCAAACTTTTCCAAGTGGCCACTCGCGGTATTGCTGCGCAAAAATCCCCAGTAGCACAGCAAGTGTTGTTCCCCTAGGTCACCACTGTAAAAGACATCTGTAAACTGTTGACATGGTGGTTTATATGTACAACTTTCTTCAAGCTGAGAAAAGCGATTAAAAAATCCATGACTTCATCACAGTGTAAAGCCTATGAGCCGAGCGGGAACTAGCGGGCGGGGCCAGTGGAAGAAACATTACTGCACATATTGAGTGGGCCGCATACCGCGAAAGGAACCCCAGACGATAGAAAACGTTTTTGGTGTATGCGCCAGACAAGCAACTCCACTGGAATGAATGGATGCCAACTTGACATCCGGTATCTAGATATTAAAATCCATGGTTTAAGGTCAGCTCTATGAGTTGTCATAGAGACCTACACAAACCAGAAACACGCCTGCTTTCAAACACTATGAAAGACTTGGATATCAAGGTTTTTGGATATGCCCAAATATTGTAACACTGACCTCTTCAAGAAGGTCGTTTAATGAATGAAACAGGAAGGCTGTGTTCATAAGGTGGAACAAGTTCACCACGGGTTAGAAAACCTTTGAAAAGATCCTTTTTGATGAAAAGAAACAAAATGACTTTACTTAATAAAAACAAAAAAGTAAACTTAGCCGTGTGTTATTTGTATTTGTTCCAACAGTGTGACACCAATGCAGACTGGAGGAAGAACGGAGCAGGTTTCTACCACAGCCACCAGCACGGCTTTGGTGTGCTCAATGCATGGAGACTCGTCAATGCTGCCAAGGTACATCCATACATGCACACGAGCAGGGCTGCAAGCTAAATTTAAATAATGTATTGTGTCTGTTCTTTGTCAAAGTGATTATAAACATGATTTTATAACACCAGAGCTCTAAGTTTTCTCTGTGCTCTCTCAGGTGTGGGAGTCAGTGCCGTTTCTCGTGTCCTATCAGAGCTCAGTAATAAAGGAGGAAGTGTCCATCGCAGCTTATCCCGACGAGCTGATCCACACCTGGAAAGGTAACCCTGTCTGCTCCTCTCCAACTCTCTGCTCTGTACTGGACATCTGCTTGTTGAGTTTACACACTGTACTATGCAGCTGACTCCCTCCCTCCCTCCCTCCCTGCCTGCTCCTGAGTCAGTCTGCCTTTCCATATTAGGCAATGTTCTCTTGATTGTGAGTTCCTGCGTCCACATTGAAATACTGAGAGAGATTTGTCCTGATTGCTGCAATTTCTTTTTTTTTTTTTGTTCCTAATCTGTCTTTGTATTTTATAACTCCTTTCAGTAGATGTTGTTCCTTTATTCACTTCTCACAGCTCCGATTCTGTCATATTCCACAGTGTGTGTGTATGTGATCTGTCTCTCTCTCCCACACACACGCTTTCACACATGCTCACAGTGACCTCATTCTAGCACAAACTTTTCCTTCTCCCTCGTCTCTTTTCCTCTCCTCACTCAATCTGTATCTTCCTTCTTTTATGGCCTCGCCACAGTCAGGAGTGTGTGGGTGTGTGTGTGTGTGTGTGTGTGTGTGTGTGTAGTCTCATGCAACAGGACTTTATTAAGGACAAAACAAACAGTTGCTGACAGTTACAGGGCAGACTCACAAAGTGAAATTTAGTCAAACTACTGTAATGCACATGTTGCCTTTTAATCCTCTGTTCAGTCTCGGTCAGATGACTGACAAATGCTTTTTGTTGGTGACAGAGTTCAGGTCTGCCTGTCACAGTATTCAGCAGTGTTTGTTGTTGTAGTTTCTATGTGTTTTGGCTGCCTTATCAGCTAATGTATTCCCATGTGAACACAGTCGCTACGAATGTGTGTCTGTGTGTTTATGAACATGCACACAGTGACTGGCTACGTCCTAATAATAAAACCAGTCACGTCCCTGTGGTACTGTCAGTCCACCGCAGCAGGGAGTGGGTTCACTTATGAAAATGTGCAGCAGTTGTTGGTCATTGGTCATGTCAGTGGATCTTTGGATTTTTCTGAAGTTAAGTACAGAGAAAGATTGTGATTAAAAATTGTTCTGAAAAAGGGGCAAGAACTCACAAGAGAGGACAAAATGTACAGCTACAATGAGCTCCTAATCTCTCCATTCATTTTCGTCAATGCATGCTCAAAGTTTATGATCACATAGAGTTTATTGGAGCGGCCCACCCTCATAAATCTGTGCCCATTCCAAAAAGAGGCAAAATCCTCCTCTGTGGAAATGTGGTCATATGCAGCAGTGCAAATAAAAAATGCAAATACCATGAACAGAGGAACACTGCACATTATACTTTACTCAGTTTACTGTGGGCAGTATGGGTGTATGGGTGTGCAAAGACTTGAATATGTACCACTGTCATATCTATTAATATCTACACCGATTAGCTAAAACATTAAAACTGCAAACAGATAGGTGAATAGCACTGATCATTTTGTTACAATGCAGTGTTCAGCTGAGATCCTTTGGGTCCAGTTGACATGCACAATCCACGCAAACACTGTTGCATACCAAGTACCCCCCTCATGGCAACGGCACTCCCCGACAAAAGAGCCAAAAAAACTACTTCAGGAATGGCTCAAGGAATGTGACAAAGCGCTCAAGACATCGACCGGGTCTCCAAATTCCCCACATCCTAATCTGATCGAGCATCTGTGGGACATGCTCGGCACCCCACCTCACAATCCACAGGACTCAAAGGATCCTCCGCTGACGCCCTGGTGCCAGACACCACAAGGCACCCCCAGAGGTCCTATGTCTGTGCCTCTACAAGCCAGCACCATGTCCAATCCAAGGAGAAGGAGGCCCGACTCTGGATCAGGGGTACCTCTGGGATACCGGCTCATACCATGAGTACTCGGATCAGATTAGGATCTGGAGAATTTGGATGCCAGGTTGACACATTGATCTGTGTGTCACTTCCTTAGCAGTTTTTGTGGTGCAGCATGGTGAATTTTCCTGCTGGGGGCCCACTGCCATCAGTAAGTGCCATAACGATGAAGGGTGTGTACTTATTTTGCAGCTGTGTTTGGGTTAGTGGAGTGCATCAAGTGGCATCCACATGAAAGCCAGGACTCAAGGCTTATGAGCAAAAGTAGCAGTAGTAGCAAAGTCTGGTTCTGTATCAAGCCTTGGCCTGTCAACTCGGACAAAACTTTTAATACTCTTCCCCAAAACAGGGTGACACTTCTACATCATGTCTTTATTGGTTTCCAGTTGGCACATATAACAACTTGGACTGTGTACTTGTCTCATGCAGGGTCTAGAAAACTCTGTTACAGATCTTAAAATGAAGAAGTAAAACATTTTGGCTCTTAGAGACGCAGACAGTATTTTCCCACACATTTCCCCAAAGTATGTTCTTATCCTCTTATCCCCGTTTGGAGTATATTATTGATACAAATAGATGAGTTTAAATCAGAAGTGTCAGCTTTTGACATTCATATAAAGTCCCCACATACCAGTACAGTGGAATTTTCCGCGGCACAGAATCAGTGTTAGAGATGCATCCCTTCTAAATCCTTCTCTATCCACTTCTCTACCTCAATTTCTGTCCTTTATGTCCTCTTTCCCCACAATAATATTTTCTTAGTGCCCTTTGTCCTTTCTCTTGCCCTTCCACTCTCAGCATCCACACATCCCCTGTACTCGCCCTCTCAGTGCCAATTCTCCACTTGACCGTCACTCCCCTCCCTGTCTCTCTCTACATCTGTCCCCCCAGCTCTCTGTCTTTTCTTCCACACCTCTGTTTACACTTCTCGCTCCCCCATCCCTTTGCGTCCCTCTCTGGCCCGAGGATGTGTGTAGCCCTACATGGTCAGAGAGCACCACGGCTCATTAGTAATCAGAGCCCATGAAATACCAGGAAATTACTAGACACTTGCAGCTGGAGGGCGGGAGGTGGTCAGTGGGACTGACTGATATTTCACGGGGAGAAAGTGGTGAAGAAACATCCAGAATCTGATGGAGGATTGAATTTACAAAGAATTAGTTTTAATTGCAGTTTTTTTCCCGGTGTGCAACTATCTCAGGCTTGCATGATTTTTTTCAACCAATACCGATAATTACCTGCTTCTCATGGCTGATAACTGATAAGATAAACATCATATTTTTGTATCTTAAAAGAAGTGTGTAACCTGTAGTTCATGCACACCTGGGGGTAAGAAAGGCTGAGATTTAGTGGGAAAATATGGATGATTTAATATCCCATAGCTTTGACTCAAATCTAACTGACATCACTATAAACACAACAAAAACAAAGAACAGCTCCGACTCTTCCATACCTGCCAACATTAGGCTGTGAAAAAGAGGGAGACTTTCTGGGGTATTATCAAATGGCCTACACTCAATGCCCCTACCCCCTTATAACCTTACACTACAGATCAACTTGATAAATACAGGGATGTGAACATAAAATGAGTTTTAATAAGTATTACATTTATAGTTAACAGTAAGAGTGAGGGAAATTATGAAGCCCAGTGTTACTGTGTAATTCTCTGGTGTATCAGTCTTCCTTTGTGTTATCAGCGCTATTTATCTGCTTTAATTTTAATAATCGGAAAAATACATAATTGTAAAAATGTCCCATTATCATTCGATAATTTATTAGCTTGATATATATCCTGCATGTCTAGTTTGTACATCATGGATGTTCCTGTATAATTCATAACCTGTGATAATCTGGTACAATCTCTTGTCCGCATCCAGAAGCCATCTCACTCTTCTTCTCGTTGCAGTTCCAGTAACTGCTATTATGGGGACGTTGAGTGAAGCTACAGAGCGGTGACAGCAGACAGATGCAGGCAGCTGCATGAGAGCCAACGTAGTGCATTTTTCAATTAATCTATCATATTGACTCCAGCAACAAAAAAACGGCAGTAGTGTCACATGACCGCAGTATTGCGGTGATGTAGTTCTCATCACAGCCCTAATGCTGCTAGCTACTGTGGCTAGGGAGCTCATCATCTCATATTCGGCAAGAGTTATTTCAGCAAATACTTAAATGAATTTGAATTAATTAATATTTATTTATTAGTTAATCCATCCATGCATCTTATGCTTGACTCTTGGATATATAAAGTGATAAGTGATATATAAAGTTATAAAGAAATAAATCATTCCAGGCCACATCGTCCCCACAGATTTTCTGTCATACTTTTCACACTGTGGCCAGTGTGATTGGTATTAAAATGTCTTCTATGCACTCTTAAAAAGGTCTTAAATTCAACTCTGCAGAAACCATGTTGAATTATTCAAGTAGACTGCAGAATTATGTTTTCACATCTTCCTAATCATGTTGACATTTTAATTTGTTTTAATGAAAGATAACATTTTTGCACATATGGGCACATAACTGTTCTTTTTAGCGCAGAATATTGTCACACACACTTGCATGCACACTCAAACACTAAGATGCTCCCTCTTCTCCCTCAGTCTCTGCTGCAGACCTGAGACAGTCTGGAATGGAGACACTGGAGCACGTGGCTGTTACTGTGACGATAACCCACCCTTGCCGTGGCAACCTAGAGGTTGTGTTGGTCTGCCCTAGCGGTATGACGTCAGTCATCGGGGCACGCCGGGCCATCGACAGGTACAAACCCAGGCATTGGTTTTGTTTTAAGAACAGTAAGACGTGTAAAAAATGTGTTCAAAAGCAAAAAAAGTAAATCAATGTCTTAATTTACTGAGTATAGGAGAATTAAGTGTTTTAGATGCAAAGCAAATTAGCAGTCGTCAGATATAACAGCACCTCAGATGAACTGTGGTCACATGAAAATGTTTTAGATTGCAGTGTAACTAAGCAGTCTCTTTGCACACAGAGACCCTGCAGGCTACCAGGACTGGACTTTCTCCACGGTGCGCTGCTGGGGAGAGAAAGCTGAAGGCCAGTACACCCTCAAGATAACGGACCACAGTAAGACTCTGCTCACGCACTGACACAAGTGACAGATATCGTCAGCAAAGGCACGGGAATGTCTTTGTAGGAATGGAAGTCATGAGCACTCACATATCTGTTTCTTGTATAGTCGTCTTTGACATGTAGAGTACCTCTCCTGCCCACACTGACCCTTCTCTCTGTTCCTGCAGAGGAGCCAGCACTTGAGCAGTGTGCAGCTGTGGGAATGTTGAAGCAGTGGCAGTTGACCCTGTATGGTTCCTCTATGACCTTCAGCGAGGTCAAGGACAGACAGAGGTAAGACCTCGCAGGCTTTTCATGCTGCCATCAGGACAGCACTGAGATTGTCTCTGTTGTCGATTGCTTGTGGTTTCCTTCCTTGGACCTGTGTTGTTTTCATTCCCATTTTATTTACTTGTGACAACTATTTTTGTAACAGCCCCTCTGCTGTTGCTCTGTTTTCTGTCTTCAGAGCCGATCAAACAAACATACTTGTGCATCAGCTCTATGCAGAGCCTATGCCGTTGTGAGTGTGTCTGTGTCACTCTGCAGTGACACCTTCAAAACACTAGTTGGGGGCGGGGTTTCTGTGAAGTGCTGCAAAGTTTAGTCGATTAAAAAACATGGCTTTTAATCGCGACAATTTCAAACACAAGTACACAAATCAGCTTCACTATAACTCACAGCATTCACAGACAAAACACTTGTCTTTATCTGGACATACTTTCTCCACAAATACAACATGCTAATGTCATTAGAACAAGTTTATGGTATTTTACATTGTATAAATAAGCCTAGCGGCTAGCAGACTTTTCCTCTACTCATATAAAACCAGGGACAACAGCAACATTTAATATAGGAAGCATTACAAAATTTAGCTCAAGGTTCACCAACAAAATAGCCGTCATAGACTAAACACATTTTCCAAACAAATATAATATGCTAACGTTATTAGCATCAAGCCTTTGGCATTTACATTGTATTAATTAGCCTAGCGTAGATTTCCTTTACTCATATGAAACAGGAGACACACATTATACTAAATAATAAAGTCTTTTATTTGCCACAAAAATCACCAACAAATGCAAATGGATACTGTAGGTGGGATGAATCTTCATAGTCAATAGTGACGTGAGTGAATGAGTATACATGTGCTACATGTTGTGCCGTAAAAACAGAGAAAAGAGAACAAAATCCACAACACAGAGGTGAGGAAATCTGCCCCAAAGGTTTGGCTGCTGCTCCTGCATGTATGCATGGGGCACACTGGGCCCAGGTGCTGCTGATAGCCCCCTGCAGCCCTGGAGAGAGAAGACACAGCAACAGCAGAGGAACAGAGCACAGGGGTATAGTCATGATACAGCAGTGTCTATAATGATTAGCCTGCATCTTAATTTCTTGTACTGAATTGGTTAGAATACCTGTCACCTGACTGGCTCAGTGTTTTTAACTGACACAAAGCTGGGAAGATATTCTGCATGTTAACTGGCTATGCGTTGATTGACAGGCTGTTGGAGGAGGCGATGAGTGGCAAGTATCTGGACAGCAATTTCTCTCTGCCCTGTCCTCCAGGCCTGGACATCCCTCCAGAGATCATCAGCCCCTTCACCTCCAACAGCCTCAAGGTAAACTATCCAACACTATACATGTTTACCATATCTGTCTGTCTCTCTCTAACCTTTGTCTTGACACAACCAGACTGCTCCCTGCTCCACATTTAAATCCACATTAAAGTGATAGTTCCACCTCTAGGCAAATCAGAAATGTTCCTACTCACTCAGAGTAAACAACCTGAAGGAGGATCTTTTTTAAGTTGAATGTTGGGATATGTTGAAGGAGGGATTGGCCTACTTTAGCTCAATTTCAACAATAGACACATCTGACCAGTTTCGAGAAGCTCTCTCTTTTATGCATTTCCCCTTTTATCTATTTAGGGCCTATGTGTCCTGAGATTAGCCTCACACTTCATCTCAGGCTGCATTCAAACCATTTCTGTGTCACGAGGACTAGCAGACCTAAATCCTAGATATTTATATTTGTCCATATAACCATAACCTCTTATTTGAAGCCTTAAACTAGACATCATTATTGGATCTGTGGAAAAGTAGGAGGGACATCAGCTAGCAAGAAATAGGACTTGGTCACCTTTTTAGTTTTCCGACCACTCCAAGTGTTTTCATACTACCTGTCACATTCACCCATTCACACACGCTGTTGTTATTTACCTCTTCTACCTCTCTTCTTGTCCTCCCCTCCAGTTCCTGCTGTTGTTGGGCTGCTTCGCTCTTTTCTGGTCCCTCTACTACACACTGGAGGTCACTCTGGCCAACCTGGACCTCAGGGGCCTCCTCTGCCTGCGCAGGAGACGGGGAGGTCACCAGGCCAGGAAAGGCCGCAGAGGGAGAGGAGTGGAGGAGGCGCTGGTAGAGGAGGAGGAGGAGGAGGAGGAGGATGTGGACGAAGAGGAGCGGGACTCTGGGGTGGAGTTGCATGCAGTGTTGGACTCCGAGGCCAAAGTGCCGCTTTTAAGTGGAGAGCGGCTGACAACATAGCACTGAGCCAGATGATGGGTCTTAAACTTTTCGCTGTCTGATCTCATGGGACGTCTCAGGCTTCCACCCTCTCCTCCCTGGTCTCCAGTTCACACTGCACGACGTTTATAGTCGTCAGATCCCGGTACTGTTCATACTACATAACTAACTGTCTTGGAGCCGTAGTTTTCATACTACGGGGAGTCACACACTACAAGATCCGTCACCATGAGGATTCCCAGGTGAGTGTGCGTGATGCGCAGGTCGACTCACAACCTCGCTTCTTCTCTGGGACTTTTGTCAGGGAGCTCCAAAAACCTTCGGCGAGTGGAAAATCAGGGTTCATGTCGTGTAGTGTGAACCAGGCATTATCTGTGGTGGTGGGGGGGTCACAGTGTAGTCTGCAGATGGACTTGACTGAAGAGTGGACTCTTTGTCCATGTCTGCATTCCCCAAACGTGGCCTTTTATGATAATCTATGTCGTGACGGTACATGTGGTGTGTGTGTGAGTTCTTGTTCACTGGTCCCTCGAACAAATGTCCTCGTAAAGAAAGATAAAATGAGGAAAAATCTCCAAAGTGAGGAAATTGTATTAGTCCAGGTGTTTTAGTTCCCACCAGGATTAGGTTTGGGACCGAAAATGTTTAAATGTTGCAGTATAATTGCATGTTTGCATGCGTCAAAGTGTGTAAACAGGCTTGTCTGCGTGTAAATGTGAAAGAACTGAGCTTACAGATTAATGGGGTACACTTTACTGACACCTGTGGGGTCATTAAACCATAAGGTATGATAAAATATGATGTGCACTACTGGACAGTAGGAATCTGCTGTGTGTGAGAGTGTGTGTGTGATCTTCTGCCCCCCTGAGTGTGTGTGTTGTGACATGAGTGGGTGTTCTTGTAATATGTAAGGTCTTCCTTGAAAGAATTTGTCCTCATATGTGAGGTTTTAAGAGAATACTGACGTATTTTTCAAAATAAGATTTATTTTCTGAGGTGATTTTAAGTCTGGTGTCATTATCTGCGGGTTTATCAACCAACTACTGATGAAAACTTGAAGTGGGATTTTCAAGTGTGGGATTTGTATATGTATTTTTTTAAGAAGTGTAATATATACACAATGTGTGCCTGCTGTATAGATATCTATACCAACTGTGTTTAATGATTTATACAAAGTGTTTTTAAGAATGTATTAAAGAGCTCTAATTTTTTAATGGAAAGGAGCGCTTGGAGTGAAGTTGGAAACTGTGTTTTGCTGTGCAAGTCACAGGTGATCGGAATGATAATAAAAAACTGTTGATGGAATATCATCTTAGATTGTTAACATGGTTTCTCAAACACAGTTACACACAAAAACCACACACTTATTATGGTTTGACATGTTGGTAGTCAGGGTTGGAAATTAGGACCAGCTGCCAGCCAAATGCTTGTAAAATATGCAAGTGGCTGCTAGATTTGCTTCAGTCACCAGCCAAAAAAAAATAGAAACCAACAGTGATCTATTGAGTTGCTGGTGGATTTTGGAATCCAGCAGCCACAGTGGCAAGCGGACTAAAAGGTTCATTTTAAACCCTGGTTCTAGTTTCTGCACAAGAAATTCTCTGAAGGTGGTAAAAATGGCAAAAGAATTCTCACTCAGAAATTAAACAAGACTAAAGCCCCGTTTCCACCAAACACAGTATGGTAGCTTTGGAACCAACAGTAACCCTTCAGACATGGTACCTAGACCCTAGCATTTCCACCACAAACAGTACTCTTAATGTGGGCGGGGTTGTTGTCACTCACTGCTCTGTCCAGCACTTACTGTATTTCCTCATTACTGGTGACACAGATGGAAGTCTGCACCTCGTTTAACGTCCACAGAACGAGGCTGCATGCTGACATTTGCAGAACAAAATAAAACAGGCAGACAGTGAGAAACAGTGAGAGTCTCTCTCCATGGGATATTTAAAAATAGCAGGTTTGTGCATTTAGTCCTTCTCAGGCAAGCTCAGGGGTTTAGTGTTGCTGGAGCCCACAGGAACGACGCTCTGTGACGCTTTTTTTAACTCCAAGTGAGGATTAGAATATATGCAGTTCACATAACCCGTTCAAAATTAATATATAAACACTTGAAGATCCACTCATTATTAAAAGTGTATGTCATATAAAGTATAAAAACTAAAGTGATGGTCAAAGTTGTCACAGTGATATTTAAGGTGTGCTGATGGATTGTCATGGTCAACTCATGCATTGAGTAACATTACAAGTAAATGTTCCACCTTAAAGGTCGCCGGCAGTCGGCCCAGCGGATTTAGTTATTTATTTCTCTGACTCCAGCTGCTGTGAGAGGCAGCAAAACATCCTTTCATTTTATAGTTACAGTTTACTAATAAAACTCTCCACAGTATGAACAGTGGTTACATTTTTTTGGATTCTTCATTCACTGTGGAGGCATGCGAGAAAAACGGCTTTCCTTGAGAAATTCAAGGTAACATAGGGTGAGTAACTTATAGACGTATGATCATTTTGGGGGTGAAGTATTCCTTTAAGATAGACTGCCCTTTGAAATATTGGTAGTAAAAGAAAGATCTTGATCTGAATGGTCGAGCTGAAATACCCAGAATCACAAAGTCAACTCAAGAATGTATTTCAAAGTCATTATTTAATAAGACAATGTACAAAAATATTGGTGCTGATACAGCAGGCGTAGCATTGTGGGGAGTGGTAGGTAAGAACAATGAACAAGGAACAATATTGTAAATTATATGAAGCACTGCGCTACGGGTTGTAACACAATTTGGAAAGAATATCCCCTCTGTAAGTTGCATAAACACATTGGTATTTGTGTCAGAATCCAAAACTAGTGTTTCTAAAATCTAGGAAACATGACATTTCTTATGTATCAGAGATGAGACAGTGGTCAGTTATCTGTAATATCATTGCTGTTTCATATTAGGTATGAACAGCTCAACTTTTGGCACATTGTCATCTTGTTTTTACCTCCAAGGCAATGCATTGATCATTTTTATGGTTACAATTTCCGCTTAAGACTACCAACATTCAGATGTAGTGGTCCTAACTGCAGTGAGAAGGACTAAGCATGGTGAGCTCTGTGATGATCACCAGTGCAAGCATATACATAACGGGCTCGGGGGCAAGTGTCAAGACCAAGAAGTAAGGGGTACTTGTTAGAAAGTAACTCATTTCTAAAGCATAAAATGTTGTAGGATGAAAGGGGAGTTGTAGTGGACTGGTTAGAGGTTTACAGGCTCTAAGAAGGTGTAAGGGGCTGAGGAGGTTTTGGATAGATTTTACAGGATCTGTCGGGGCCTTCCGTAGCTCATGCCCTCCTGACTGGCTCCCTTATTGGACCCCATCTGTAGGCCAATCACGTTTTTGCCCGCCTTCAGCTGGTCATCGCTGAAGTCTCGCTTGTTCTCCTGGGCTTTCCTGCAACACATCATTAATAATGTCACTGGAGTGTTTTATAAATGCTAACTGGAGTCAGTAAGATAAAGCAGCTAAAGTTTCATGAATTGGACTCACTTGAAGAACCAGTTAGGGTCTCCATTGTATGTGCCTTCATCCTTAGTGATGGCCAAGCTTCCCAGAGCTGACAGGGTCCTCTGCACTGCCGCCAGGTCTTTACCTGTCCCCCAACACAAATACAGCTGTCAATAATAACTCTAAGCATCAGTCACACTGGGATGTTTCCACATGTGCATTGTCATATCCTAGTATTTTGTCCTCTGCCATACAACCAAAGTGCTTAAACCCGAGCCAAGTCTTTCACAAAACCCTTCTCACCTTCCCAAAGGTCCACAGTCTGGAACATGTCAGTCTTGGTGACGCCATACTTCTCAGCAGCGTTGAGGAACTGGGAGATCTGCTCCATCTGTTTGAAGGCCATGGATGAGCTCTGGATCTTCTTCACAGGTTTATCTCCGGCAAACAGACTGTTGATCAGCTCGCTCAGAACCTGGGTAGAACGGAAGGATGGAGAGGCGTAAAAAAAGGCAATTAACGTTCAGAACATCGAAAACAAGCGATCAAACGGGCATGTTGCACTCACACATCCGTCTTTAAGCCAGGCCTGGAAGCCCATTTTGCCTGGCTCTGGCTTTCCTGCACCAGATCCACACTGACGGCTGATCCACTCCACCAGAATCTGCTCCAGCTCGGGGTCATACTTGCTGTCAATCTTATCCTGAACCTGCCGGCTCAGGCCGAAGGATGGACCTTTGTTAGCCATGCCGACTCCCTGGGAGGTGAGCGTGAAAAGGAGAAAGGGGGAAAGATTGAGAAGGAAAAATGGATAGAGAAGAAGGCGAGATGAAGTAAAGGAGAGTTGAAGAAAAAATATTATGGAAAATTATCTCTTGAGAACATATGAATTCAATAGTTGCATTTTCAGGGATGCCATCCTTATCTCCCGTCCTGACAATTTACAGATTCAAGACAACATACAGATTTTATATACTTCATGTTTTCTTGTACATTAACATCCAAGTATTACCGCCTTGGGCGATACAAACAACAGCTAACATTTGTAGTGCAGTAAAATTTGGATGTAGCCTGTATACACAAACATGCATAGGTGTGCAGATGATTTAGATTAAAGCATATTTACTTACAAACCCACAAACAGATACCCCTTCTTACTGAATAGACCGGTACATGCAGGACAAAAGCGTGTAGTTTCAGTGGAAATGCTCAGCGCTTATTTGAACACCTTTCCTAGGACAGTGATATTGGCAGCGTTGTGTCTCCTAATACACACCATTTAGGCCTATCAGGACCTGTGTCCAAGGCAAAGTGGTGTACAATGGGAGCTCTATATCAGCCAGCTGATTTTCTTTTTCATATATTCTCCTTTAACACACACAAACACACACACATTCCCCCTCCTAGTCTCTGTCAACACATATATCATTGCCAGCGCTTTTCTTTTGTCTTTTGCTTCTGTATTGCCTCTGGGCTAACAGCCAAGCGCAAAACCCATATCAAGGTGCTGTCTGCACCATCCAACCTTTGTTGCCATCTTGATGTCAGGTCACTTCAACTTCCTGTTCCTGGGGAGGTTCAGAGTGCAAATGTTAAAGGTTAAACCTGATGGTTGACTGGAGGAGGCTCATCTCTGGCACAGCATGGAGATCTAACCTAATTTAACTATTATTGAGACCATGGAGTCATTTTTTTCCATTGGTGGCATGATTTTTCCTATTGGCTGTAGAGTTTGTTACAAAAAGTGACAGAATGTCCAGACGGGCCAAGACTGGGTTGATGCAAGTCTTTTTATGTTTCGAGTAAATCTGTCTCATCGTATTGCCAGTGTACACGCAACTAACGAAAGGATCTAAAGACAGAGATGGAAAGAATCTAACACTTCTGCTCTTCTCTTCTCTTCTCTTCACCTAATTTATTTTTTCCCTTATCTTTTTTTCCCCTAAATTCTTTCCTCCATTGCTCCCTTGCACCCTCCCTGCCTTTCTCCTTTCCATCCCTTTCTTCTCCAACCGATCTGAGGGCATGAAAATCCCTCAAACTTCAGCAACAAAAGGTTCATGAACCGTGCATTATCCTCCCGAGACCCCCGCATTTTGGCTTACTGGAACTTCTACGTCATTCTGCTTAACATTGACCTTGTTTGTGGGCACTTTTTGTGCCATCTGATGGTCGCAAAAGCTCAATACACTAATCCATGTAAAAACAAGATGGCAGCCATCTCTGCCAAGTCAGTCTGCAGCTGATCCTGACACAAAAGTGGATAAGGTCCAAAACCTGATCATTTTTTTTGGTTGAAACTTGTTTATTTATAATTAAGAATGTTTGTATTTTAATATTCCACTGATACGCAATTTGACCGATACAAGCAATGATAACAAGCTAAGATGCTGTTTATTAGAAAGTACTTGTTTAAAGACATTGGGACTTAATTGTCGTCTCGTTTGAGGACATTCGGCCTTATATATTGTTGACATTGTTTAGTTTTTTATAATTATCAGGTCCTACTGATCCCAAATACAATAAAATGATCGGACAAGAGCGGTGAGAATCAACCAAAGTTGTGAAGAGTTTGGCGGAAGGCCGCTAGTTGTGCTCTCAGTGAGTATAGGTACTCATCTTTGGATACCTTAGTATATCCTGCTTCCCTACAATCATACTTTATTTTTACTTACAGCAAGTAATATAACATTTTTATTGCAGGACTTAATAGGAGTGGAGTTTTTTTTAACTTGTGGAAATACTAAAAGCTTTTGTGCTCTTGTTCCACCACTGCGAATAGATATACTGCATGTCTGCATATTAGAGTCTGCATGCCAATGGC